GGGAAGCTGGCTATATCTCTGCCTTTAGTTAGATCACGGCCATAAACTGCTAGATACCTCAGTGGGTTCAGTCTCTGGCTGAGGAGCCACAGTTTGGGATTTCAGTTTCCCATTGGGCCTCCTTGAGAGGGGCTGCACTCGATGATCCATAGGGTCCATTCTAGCTCTGCAGTTCAAACATTGTTGTTGTATTCTTGAAGGCTTTCACGGCCGGGATCCGATGGCGGTTGTAGGTTTTTTGGGCTGTTTGGCCGTGTTCCAAAGGTTCCTTTGGAAACCTTCACCCAAACAGCCCGAAAAACCTACAAAAGCCATCATTGTTGTTAGTACTACTAATACTAATACTACTCCCCTGAGCATGGTGTGTTCCTTTGGTTCACTCAAGGTGAGCTGTGCTGTCTGGGCATGTCTTTGTAGGCATACAAGAACTCTTTTCTTCTTCATACACTGTGATATGGATTGTATGGGTTGACTTGAGAGTGGCTAAAGCCTGTGGTAAAGGGGCTGGGGAAGAGGAGACCATGAATGTTTGGGGGCTCTTGCACTCATGTCCTGGTTGTGGCTATTAGGTGGGTAACTGGCCTAGACCCGTTGCAGAGTTGCTGTTGTTTTTAAATCAGAGACTAACACATTTTTGATCCAGTTTTAACAGATAGCTCTGCACTGCCAGATTTTTTTACTCAATCATTCATTTATTTAAATTTCAACAGACCAGATTTCAATAGACAGCTTTGTACTTCCCGGCTCTCCTGCTGCAAGCGACATCGATGTTAGAAGAGTTGGAAGTCACTGACATTTTGGTGTCAGAGCAAGCAATACTTACTGTAGTTGGTCTCTGTGGCAACTGAAATACAGAGCAAAGTTTGACGCTCTGTATTCCATCAGTAGGAGGTCTTTGAATGTTGGGCTCACTGCTACTACCCATGTAGCAATTGTACTTTAACATGATACCTATATTGGAAAGCCATCTCTTGATTCATAGCCAACAAGAATTTTGCCAGCCTGTTCTTTTTCTGTTCTTTTCCTATTTAAAGAAGTGGAAGTCTCCAGAGAAGTGTGATCGAGACCTACGTTGGCCTTGTCACTCATAGGCTTCCATCTTTCAGAGTCCTCAATGCAACTTTAGCAGAGCTATGTCCTACCAGAGCGGTCAGTCCCCTGATGTGTGTGTTCTGCAACACAAGAAAAAGAGAATTGAGAGCATTTGCTCAATCTGGGTCCCACACATGTAACTCGGTTTCCATGAAAACAACATGTCACGGTTGTCGGATTGTGTGATAGGAGGAGCTGGTCCAGCAGGCATGATCTGCTGTAATTTCCCCCTTCTCTTTGCTCTCCTGAGCTGGAAGAGCCAATACATCCTCAGTCAAGTGGATGGGCCTCTCTTTCCTGACCTCCCCTGGCGATGTCACAAGCTCCAGATGCAAGGAGTCCAATGTTAATGGTGTGTTTTGTTAAGCTAGAGCTGTCCCTCTCCATTTAGCTTCCTTTCTCAGTGTGCATAATTTATTCCATCCTGCCGGTCAGCCAGAAAGACCAGACACAGCCATTCCAAACAACTTTTAATTCAGCTAAGTCATTTATTTTAGGTCTGCTGCTTGCAAACAAGTGTGCAGTGGGGCCCTTAAGAATGTCCTGATGACACTGTCAGAATCTGTTTTGCATGTTCCTAGAATAGCATTTCCACAGGCCCCTCTCAAGACATGTGTATGCAATTATATACATTAATTCCCTGTTTAATAAACAAAGAGCAGCTGTTATGACAGCTTCTGTTATCATTGCATTTCTAACATAGTAAGATTTGCAACATGCTACATTTCCTGGTACCAGAAAGGTAAACGAATGCAGAGAAAATGTAAAGTAAAGGACCGAAAAAGCACTATTTTAATAATGATGATTTCTTGCTAGTAGATGACAGCCGCATTTACATAATACATCTTGAAAGCTCAAAGAATTTTGCTACATTATTTCAGTCCCTATAATAGCGCTGACAAGTTGCCCAGTGTTACCATCCTCACGTGGCAGACCAGAAGCACCAGGGCTTGAAGTAGGAGAAAGAAAGACCACTTGGATTTCCTCGAGCCACCTGACCTTGCATATACCTGTACTGTATCTGCTACAACGAATCTTAAGTTACGATTGCTGGTGAACAGCCTCTCTGTTTCCCATTTTCAGGGCACTTGTAGGGAATGAACCTTAATTCTAAATCTCTCAGCTAGCTTTATAGATCAGTAGTGGATTTGTATTTCAGGACACATGCAACAACTTTTATCATTTCCTTAGCCATTTTGCAATACAAAAATCTCTTTGGAAATTGGAATGCAACTCAGAAATCGAAATTTTCATAAATAGCAAAGGATTTCCGGGATGGTGTAGTGGATAGAGTGGCAGACTAGGAGGCCTGAGTTTGAATCCCCATTGAGCCATGGAAGCTCACTGGGGGAGTGGAACTGGGGGAAGCCACTCCTGAAATATCTCACATACCTTGAAAGCCCTATCAGGGTTGCTATAAGTCAGTTCTGGCTTTATGGCATATACAACAAATTGCAAAAGGCTGTATCTAATAGTGTCATATTGTAGGATGTTAGAAGAAGGCAGAATTTGGAAAGAGAACTTTTAAGTACTTGGCTATAAAATTCTAAATATCAATATACCTACTGATCATCACACTTAGGATCAATGGTGAGAAAATAATTTACATTGTACTACATGATCTTCAACCATTCTTTTTGATAGTTCTAAATAGCAATCCAAGGCACAAGGAAGTTACGTTGGGACTACAGATTTTGCCCAAAGTCTGTGGGCTCAGATCTGTCAACAGCAACGTGAGCGTCTGAGGCAGTGTTTCCCTCAAGACAGAGAGCTCACCATTAGCAGCTCTTCAGAGTCTTTTCTGCAGTTCCCATTAATAACTGACCAGAAGAAAACCTCCTAGATGGATTCTTGGAAACCAGCCTTGTCCTCAAACCAATGGAAAGGATTTCTGGCATGTTTTTGCAGCCCTACTTCAGAGTTCTTCAAGAGTTGTATACATTAACTTCCTTTTGAATAGACTTTGACATGAAGTTTCATTTGGCACACAGTCCATTGGTCGACATAATGTATGATTCTATTTCGATCAAGCCATCATATTCTTTACTAACACACTACAAGTTTTATTCTGTATAGAACCTTGTTTCCAGCATGATTCAGTTTGGTTCTGACTTTGCTCTGCATTTGCACAGCTTGTTAATCAGAATTTTCATTTGGTGTCTGAGGATTGATGCCAGCCTTTTGATGTACTTAGTGATGACAGACCTTGAGAGGCTTGTCTGTGATGTTATCTTTCTGGTGATGTGCAGTAAAATGATTATAATAATCTAATGAGACAAGAAGATTGATGTGACCTTCAAATGTGTAAAACTCTCATCTATTTTTTAAAAATGTCCCAGAATGCTGAGCTGGGTCCGGAGTTGTGCAAATAATACACAACCCGTGCGGTCATGATCATTCAGATTGATACCAAACGCCTGTGACTTCAGGTCCCTGTGTGACCTGAAAAAGTGTTGCGCATTAGGACACAGGACAACGTAAGGGAAGACTGGCATCCACAGAAATATGCAGGCTCAAGGAAATGGGGCCACAGTGAGGATGAGAAAATCTCATTTGTCTTCTTCTTTCCTGATGTAAAAAGCCAAGAGCAAAAAGGGTAATGTTTCAATTGTGGCAATGTGAAGATTACTATTGTCCCCTAGCAGCCAATTCTGCCTCCCCCCCCCCACTTTCTGAGTGCCATCTTGATGTGCACTATTTATAACTATCAGCTTACATACCCAAAGGTATGTTGGTGCCATTCCTACTTCTTATGCCCACCTCCTTTCATTCCTGTTCCACTCCCCAGCGTCCATTAAGTATTTTTTATGTTAAATGTGCATCCACACACACACACACTGCCATTGACAGTCTTGAGTAAATTTGATTCCATAAGTTACTCTAACTTTTTATGTCATCTTTCAAATACCAACTCTGAATGTATTGATTGCACCAATTCCTCTGCCAGATCGCTATTGTTATGAGCTAAAATACCCCACTCCATTTTATGTGTAATTTGGGGAATTTAATGAATACATCCTCCAAATAAATAATTTTCAGATAATACTGTAGAACCTACTGCCGCCAATCTAGTCACTGATAAATAGCAAAGGATTGGGCAGTATTTAAGAAACAAAGAATTGATTTTATTGAGGCCCAAAGACTTAAACAATTACCAGAAATTGCCAGCCACCCATGTGAGATTTATTTCAGATGTCCAAGGGCCCCTGCCTTTAAACTGGATGTTTCATAGATGTAAAACTTCAGCTTGCTCTCATGACAAAAATCTGACATCCAGATTCAATTGCAAAATCAACTTCCATTTTACATATTCAGTATATTATAAAGGTTTCTTTGAATTGTGAACTTAATAAGGTGAAGCCATAAGAGAGCTTTAAAAGTTAGTCCTTGGTCTTTAGCCATACCTGAAGAAAGCTTGTCATTGTGCTAGTCTACCCCTCATCTCTGAGTTATGGCATTAGTTCCACCCAGTGTCACTGTCAGCACTTAATCACAACCCTGCAAGATACACAATTGCATCAGATAGCTGTGTTGATAATTCTGCAACAGATAATCCTCTGTTGTGAACAGTTACTGCTTCATAGAAAAGCAGCAGAGCAAGGAACGTTTTGAAAATATAAACCTCAGCTTGTCTGAAAGATCCTTAAGTAACTGAAGGACAAATTATGTATTTCAAAGCCATGCACATATTTGGCTTTCCTTCTGTAGTTGTTGGGTGGTTGGATTGTTTTTTGTGAAGCTCTGATATTGTGCACAGTAGCTGTAACTGACAATTGAAGCCCAAGACTAACTAGTCTGTGTTGCTCATCAAGACCGTACACAGAATATTTAAGTATCTGAGAATCTTTATTGTGTGCAAAGTCATTTTGCTGAAGGGAGAAACAATATTTTCTATTCCATTGTGGCAGATTTGGAAATCAGACCAGGAACTTCAGACTCTACTATGATGGAAAACACTTTGTTGGAGAGAAACGTTTTGAGTCGATCCACGACCTAGTGACAGATGGATTGATCACCCTTTATATTGAAACCAAGGCAGCGGAATACATTGCCAAGATGACCATAAATCCAATTTATGAACACATAGGATATACAACTTTAAACAGAGAGCCAACAAACAAGAAGCATACAGTGGCTGTGAAAGATAATCTTGATTGCAAAGAGTCCACAGGAGACAATGACATAGCAGAAAAAAGAGTAAGTTACTCAGTTAAAATGTTCTTCTTTCAAGACAATAATTTAACTCATCTCATTTGAAAACCAACTGATTGTTCTGCATTTTAGAGCATAAACATTTGAAAATTATGTTTTATATAGTATAGTAGGAAAACAAGAATTACAACTCAGGCATTTAAGTATAAATTAAACATTCCTTCTCATTTTGCATCTGAATGTTCAAACTGTGAGCTATTTATTTTTGAAGACATTCCCGAGCTTTCCACTCTGAAAGTCCCTCAAGAAGTAATGCATAAGGCATATATGAAGTTATATGCATTATAAAACAATATTACTTATATGATGGGAAAATCATATTGCAAAGAAATAGAGATTGGTATCATAATTGGATCAAGAAATCGAGGAAGGAAGTGTGAATGTATAAGATCTTGCTCGTAAACCAGGGGCTATGTTCTTGGTAATTAGAATAATCATTCAACAATCAAAGTATTTGAGTCCATGAGATATTTATCAAGTTAAAAATCATATGTTGGTGAGGTTGGTGTAGTTCCCCACTACCCCCAAATCAGTTTACTTTAACAGCGCTTCTTCATTGTTGTAGGGCTTTTCTGTTGAATTTGTAGTGTTAATTTTTGGTGGAAGCCTACTAAACTAGGCTTTACACCTAAATTAGTTGGAAGAGAAGAATATCCATCATCATGTTTGTACTTGTTTGTATTTAAATTATATTTAACGAGTTGTTACGAAACAGTGCATCCATCATTCTTTTCTTATGTTGCAGTGGTTCTCTCTCTCTCTCTCTCTCTCTCTCTCTCTCTCTCTCTCTCTCTCTCTCTCTCTCTCTCTCTCTCTCTCTCTCTCTCTCTCTCTCTGACACATACACACACAGACACACACACACACAAACACACACACACGCCCCTAGAAAAAGTTGTTTCTCAATCTAAGAATCTAAAATCAAATGGAGAAATACAGTAAGGAGACAGATATATTGTGTCTTCCAAGAATGCTTCTCTTCTTCAAAAAGAATGAATTCCATCTAAAGGAATCTCCAACAACCACTTTTTTTGTATTCGCGAAGGCTTTCACAGCCGGGATCTAATGGTTGTTGTGGGTTTTTCGGGCTCTTTGGCCGTGTTCTGAAGGTTGTTCTTCCTAACGTTTCGCCAGTCTCTGTGGCCGGCATCTTCAGAGGACAGCACCAGAGCACAGAGAGAGCACCGACTTCTGTCCTCTCTCTGTGCTGAGAGCACAGGGTGCTGTCCTCTGAAGATGCCGGCTACAGAGACTGGTGAAACGTTAGGAAGAACAACCTTCAGAACACGGCCAAAGAGCCTGAAAAACCCACAACAACAACCACTCTTTTCCTTCAGCGTTAACACCTGTTTTGTTAATGTTTTCTTTGAGCCATAATTCAGTGTTTTGTTCTTGTCCTTAGTAGATCAACATAGGTGGCCATCTATCCATTTTTACCTTCTGTATTTGCATTATGAACAGAGTGCCATCACCTATGGTGGATTTTCATGTAGAAGTTCACAGCCTTCTATGCATCCCCACCCATCAACACCTTCTTGGAGTGGGGTGATGGAAGTTGGTCACAGGGGGAACCTGCTGAAGAACATAATTTTTTAAAAAAATCAAACTTAGTGGCAATTCTAGTTGTATGGAGAGATCACAACAACCCATTGTTTGTTACTTCTTAATACAGTATGTACAACAAACATAATTTTAAATGCATACAAATCCGTCCTTCTATGTTTGATGAAAAGCCTTCCTTAAACCCCATGAGACCCACTCTTGTGAATAGTCCGGCCTCTAAATTTGTACACTTGGTTGTGTTTTGCCACTACCCTGCCTTCTTAATACCCAGATCTCTCCAGTCTATATCTGCCTAACATCTTGATTATTCAAACTGTTTATGGGAACATAGTGTGAAGGTTTTCTTAGTGTGAGCCAAACAGGAAGAGCGGGTGCTGCCTTTTAAAATCTCCAAATGTGAAACATGTTAACTATATTAAGCAGAAGATACTTGATTTAAAAGTCCTAGATGCAAGACTGTCTCTGAGAATAACAACAACAACAACAACAACAACAACAACCACCACCACCACCACCATGTGCCATCAAGTTAATTTCTACTTATGATGACCCTTTCCAGGGTCTTTCATGTTTACAGTATTCTAAATTGGTTTCCCATTCCCTTCTTTTGCATTGCTGTGGGACCATATAGCTTGGCCTGGCTCTTCTCCCAGGTGGCACAGTGAAGAAGCCAACTCCTGAACCCCAACATTATAGAGAGTGTATGGTTTTAATAATAGGTTATGTGGTTTTAAAAACCATGTTATAGATCAGGGTTCAGGAACTGGGGGCTATATTCAAATTTGAGAAGGGTCAGACACATTCCAATTGTGGGTAGGATTAAGGGTATGGGTATAGTCAAAAAAAGTTGGCAAACCAGATCCTTTATAATTTGGACTTTTCCCTACCAAAATGCAAAGCACATCTGCATTTCAGGTATGTCTCCCCAAGAGTAAGCCCCATTGCAACAGCTTTCCTGTCTCCAAGGCACAGCTCAACTCTCTGCAGGAGATTTAAAATTTAAATACATTATTGTCTGCAGTCCCAGATCCAGAGATACCAGCAGATTCTTATACAGTAGAGAGGAAACCCTGCAGGCCTTATCAGCCTGCACTCCAGAGGTTTCCTTATCCTTACGCTACATAGTACAATAACATTTTGGATAATTACTGCAGTCCTATTCATGCTTAGTTGGGAGCAAGATCCATTGAAATCATTGAGATCTTCCTTTGTGTAAAGGTTTGTAGGATTGCACTGTTGAAAACACAGTAATATAAGGCATAACCATTACATTCCTGAAAAGGAGAGGAGGTTCAAAGCTAAATTTAGCTCCCTGTCCCTAAATCAAAATTGTCTATCCCTCCTTTTATGGTGAAACATTTGCCTAGGTGAATAAAACAAAACTCTAAGCCACCAAACTCTGAAGAATAAGAACCATCTCAGTAAGAGTAAGAAAATATGCAAATGACCAAAAGTCATAATTAGAACAGGTGTTTTCAAAACACTATAGCGAGTTAGTTTTTTCATTCACGTAAAGGCAGGTGTGCAAGTGATTGTTATATTTTGTGGGCTATCCATTACAAGATCAGTTGTGCTACTGGGGCATGATGAATCATTCAGTATACACTCCACAACATAATATACATTACTGCCTGGTGACTCTTACATATTCAGTGATTCCAACAGGATACTAGCCAAAGGGAATTCCCAGCATCAGAGTCACCCATCAGTGTGACCAAAGTTGTCTTCATATCATAACTAAGCCAAAAATCAGAGTTTAATGGCTTTAGACAACCCATCTCATCCAAGAACCATTGGAGCTAAGAAGTCCCCACATCTTGGCCTATGAGTGGCATATTGGACACAGTTTATTACATATCCATTACAGTGGAATTCCAGGAGGAAATTTTCTGCAAAGATGTTATCAGCTCCTCCATTTGACATGTTGGAACATTGTCTTGCTGCAAGCAGGCTTTCAGTATTCCTTTTACCCACTTGGTCATAGGTGTTTTTGAGTCTGGAGGATTAAGAATCCATCACAAATGTGGTAGCTTTCACTTTGGCAAGCATCACATCCTCAGGCTAAACCAATAGTTACTATTAGACATGGGTGGACATAACGGGGTGGACATAATGAGGGTCCAGCCCCCTGGGGCCAGACCGATCTGCTGCTGCTGGGGGCTCCATGATCCTTTCCTGCCACTCCATTGCTCCTGATGGATTAGCCACTCCTGGCAGAAGGTGGGATGACGAGCCTCTTTTCCAGGTCAAAGAGTGGCTAATCCATTGTGAGCTCCGGATCAATAGGAAGGGAGCACGGAGCCTATAGCAGCAGTGAAATGGTGAGTGGTCGGTCTGGCCCCAGGAGGCTGGACCCTTGTTATCTGCACCTCTAGTTCCCAACCTTGGGTCCCCAGATGTTCTTGGACTAAAACTACCAGAAGCCTTTACCACTAGCTGTGCTGGTCAGGATTTCTGGGAGTTGTAAGCCAAGAACACCTGACAACCCAAGGTTGGGAAGCATTGGGTTATACAAATGTAATAGAATTGTATGACAGATTATTTAAAAATTGTAGATGGGCTCTAGGATTCTTCAGTGCTGTGATTTATTTATTTGGAGTTCTGTCCTGTCTGACTGGCTTCTTGATGCTTATGAAAATTAATAGTCGGGTAAAATCTTTTACAGTACTTCTTAATGTTTGTCTTGCCCACTTGAGGCAATAACTATTCAAAGGAGCAATTTGTGGTGAGACGGTGTCATTAATTGCTAGAAGGCGGCAGTTTTGCGACCCATTTCACACAGCAACTATGAACTGGATGCGCCCACAAACATGTTTATGTTTGGAGAAACAAGGAACTCTTAGCAAAGCTGCCAAGTATCTCTTCTGAAATCAATAAAATCATAGCAGATAAATAATAAAATAATTGTAATTAGAGCACAGATTTAACCTTTCACCATCTGACTTTTGCTTAACTTGTTTGTGTTTCTAAAATAATTTACAGGAGACAAAGTGTCAAATTATTTTGACACCAGTGTCAGTCAGAGAATGGCAAATCGCTGCTTTGAAATGCTTTTGCCAGTCTGTAGTGTTCATTTGAGTCACCAGTTTGGATCCTATGCACCCAATTAATTCTACAACAATTGATGTTTATAGTAGCAATATAGACCAAAGTCCTCTGGAGCTGAATCAGCGACATGAGCTGAAGAGGTTCAAATGCATATGCCAGATAACATTTTAAACTTATGTATCTATGTGGATCTAGTTAAGCTTGAAGTTCATTCACTTGCCTGTGGAAATACTAAGAAATTATGGCTGGAAGGGTGTGTGATTCTCAAAACAAACGATAAAGTATCATCTGCAAGATTGCCTGGCATAGTGTGTAATAACACAGAGATTAAATCTGTGTCAGTGTGAGGAGTATCACTGTGAAACTGTTGGGTT